CAATATTTCACAACTCTCAGGATCTCTGGCCACCTCCACAGCAGCTCCTGTACCTGCCACACCTGCCCTTTCCATCTAGCTGTCTTTGCAGCTCCTCCCTGAGCAGGACAACAGCAGCAACTGATGGCACTGCTGTCTGCTGTTCTGTGACCCATCACCACACTGAGATGCACCCCTAAATGCTGCACAAACTAATGCCACAGGCACAGAGCTAGTACCAGCCATCACTGCTGCTCCTGAAGGTGAGAGTATCTGGTAAACAAAGAAAACACCCTGACATAAAGCCTGTGTGGTCACCAGAATAAGCAAAAGCAGCACTGTAAATTGATCCTCCAAAGTCAAGGATCACCCCCAGTCCCCAACCTGTGCATCATTGGTGTGTTGCTCATGAATACTGATTTAGATGTCTCACCTCCCTAAAAACACACTAGAAAAATAAGTAACGCGTACGAGAGCTGTATGAAAAGGTCCCCAAGCTTCCCTTGAAACATCCCCTGCATAAACCCTGAGTACAAGATCATACCTTCAAAGTGCCTGAAACAATGGCTAGGCTCCTAGGCAGATAAAAAACATGTGAAGAGAAGGGGGAAGAAAAGGTATTTTTTTAAAGCAGTCAGCTGAAAGAAGGAAGTGAAATCCTGGCCTCCATCACAGCAGAATTTAGGCATGTTGACGAGCTTTAAGGCAGTCACCTTCCTCCGATATATCTATTTTGCCATGCCACAATGCTGCGAACACCCCGTAGGCTCCGCTTCCTGACAGAGCATAATGCCAAATCAATGGGGCTGCCTCAGCTGCTTGACCTCCATAGCTGTTTGCCAGAGAGGGGCACAAGGCGCCAGCCTTCTGCAGTATGGACCGTTTGTCAGTGTGCAGGTGCTCAGCACAATGACAGCTCTGGAGTTCCCCAAGTGCACAGGCATGGCAGGCAAACAAAACAGCTCCTGGGAAAAGTACTATAGCACCCACACTCCCGGGAGTGACCGTGTTCGAATGAAAACATCCACATCACTATCAAAGATACCTGCTCACACATTGTTTTTTAATAATCTAAGCAAGCTTTCGGTGGGTACTACAGAAGCAGCATTGTCCCTTTGTTTGCCAGGCCACATGCCCAGAAATACAAAAGCCTGCCTCGAATTTGCTTACGACTTCTGTCTTTGCTAGCTCCACTTACTGCTTGGCACTGCTCCGTAGACAAACAGCGCTCATTTCTAGCACACTATTTCACCAGCAGGCCTAGGGAGATAGTGTCCCAAAAGGCACAGCTTCCTTTCAGATCCTTTTCTTTCACAGCACATGGAAAGGATCCAGTTTCATTTTATTTGTATTACAAAAAAGCAAGCAGCAGGAACAGATAAGCTCATAGTAATAAATATACTACGGAGATAAGGAAAAAACATGTGTGAAGAGTTAATCTATGCAGCAACGTGGCCGGCCTCGGAGGGCCGGGAGACCTCTGCAGGCTCCAAAGCAAAGTCCTTCACCGCCATCAGGACTGACAGGAGTGGCTGAAGTCACTCTCAGTATCTCATATGCACTCCTTCAACCTGTATTAAAGCCCTGGAAAGGGATATCTCCACAGGCTGTGGCCACTGTGTCCCCTTTAACCACCGCAGCAGCTTTTAGCCTACCTTCAAATGCTGTTTTTGGTCTTTTGTGGAGAATAATTACCAGTCACAGATACGCAGAGCTGCAACACCTATTTTCTTGGTTTTCCTTTCTCTTTGCAGCTCAGCTCGCAGCAGCAGCAAACTCTATGACAGGCTCTCTTGTAAACACAGAGGGAAAAAAATCCCATGGTTACCTTCTAAAACCTGCACAGCCGCAGAACAGAACAGGTGAAGGGAACAACTTAACAGAGTGCATTTTCAGACCACCGACGTTCTCCTTCCTCAAAGAAGGTACCCTGCCTTTCCCATGCAGAAAGGCTCTTGGAGGGCACACAGCAAGCACTGACAAATGCCTTGCACCTTTGCAAAAAGCAATAGAAACAGTGTAGGCTGAACACCTCAGAGGTACCGACTGCTGCTGGGCTCAGGTGAGTACTGAGAGATGTTCTTCAGCCACTCTTGCTAATCCATTTCCTTCCCTTGCTCAGTTCACCTCTGAGACCCCAGAACCTGATCATGGGTCTCTTGTGTAAAAAACTATTTTGAAGAGACCTGCACTTCTGGCAGCACTGAGCACAGCAATGGGACTTGCTGCTGGGACCTCAGAGAAACTGTGGAACAGATGGGCCCTAAGATACCTGGCACTGCTGCAGACAGAAGACACCCAAGAGTTTTCTTCATCTGTCAATTTCTGGTTTTCTTAAGAGTGCTAATATTGCTATACTTCACAAAACTACTGTACAGATGTGAGGTCTTCACAGTTGTAAGTCACAACTACAAACTGTTCAGCATGAAATCGTAACAATAAAGAGTATATCCCACTCTAACGCAGTTAGTTCCCTTTGTATGGAGAAAAACATCGTTGGATTGGCTGCATTTACAGTGTGCATGCCTGCCGAGGGGCTGGGGAGAGTACAACAGAACTCCACCGCCACTACCCAAGTGGCAAGCCTTGTGTACACACTGCAGTGGGGGAACTGAGTCCTGGACATGACTGAGCTTAAGGAATCTCACTGTTAGATCCACCTGCACACAGAGTACGTTTCTTGTCTTTTCTGGTCACGGTTATATCACGGAAGGTTTTCTGTCAAGCTGTTATAGACACTGGTTTGAAGTCCTGCTATAGATGTGACTCTGAATAGAGCAAAGCCCTTTTAGGGTTTCCAGAGGGCTGGTGCCCCTCCCTGGGCTCTGCTGTCTCTAAGCAAAGTGGACCGGAATGGCTGAAGTGGGAGACAGGGTCGAAGGAGGACAACCCTGCAGACAGCCCAGCTCCTGAAAGCACACAGACTCTGACCCAGCAGCAGGGAGAGACTGCAGCATAGAGTCCCTAACTTCAGAAGCAATGGTATCCCTAGCACTGCAGCTCCTAATAAAATTTGTTTGCCAGAAGGGAGAGAAAAACCTACATCATTGTTTCATTCTTCCTTTTGCTTCTTTTTATGAGCAGTTGCATCACACTACCTTGCATCTGTGTGTGAAGAAGAGGGGAATGTAATTTGCTTCACCCCAACATTAGGGTGCACCCCAACGTACTCCTGCAGTTGCCTGAGCCCTGACTGACAGACAGCAGACCAGTTTGGCCTCGGACTCTGCTGCTCAGCACCAGCTGGACTGGTGACTTGCTTCTTGCAGGCTGGGGATTCAGTGGCAGTTTGAGATGATTCTCATCGCGTACAAGAATGGGTCTTTAACTACAGAATGGCTTAGGTATTTATTATTACAAACAGTAACAGAACCCCCTCCTTTTTCTGTATGGGGAAATTGGGCCAAAAAGATTAAGCTCAAAACACTACAGGGGACATGTATTGAGCTTTAAGGGCTAGATTTCAATTATGTTTCTGTGGGCATGTAAAGACGTTACATGTTAAGTTAAACTCACGAGATGCCCAGGATGCAGCCGACAAAAACTGAGCTCTGTATCCAGGCTCCTGGGTGCATTCCTGTCCTGCATCACACAGAGCAGAGACCTCACTCTATGGGAAGCAATGTATCTCCTTAAACAAAAACAACAGCAGGTGTACTTGCCTTTGTCAACCAAGAGCATCCTTCTTTGGGACACAGCAACTATAGAATCACAGAATCATTGAGGTTGGGAAAGATCTTTAAGATCATTGAGTCCAACCATTAACCTGGCACTGCCAAGTTCACCACTAAACCATGTCACTAAGCACCTTGTCCACACGTCCTTTAAATACCTCCAGGGATGGTGACTCAACCACATCCCTGGGCAGTCAGTTCCAATGCTTGATAACCCTTTCAGTGAAGAAATTTTTCCTAATATCCAATCTAAACCTCTGGTTTGTGTATGTATATATACATATACCTACACATTATGTATATATATTTATATATGCACACATCCACAAACAGAAACATGGAGGCACCTGCTTTTCATGATCCAAAATAGCTGACTTATCTGGAAAACCTAACCCAAAGGGCTTGTTTTAACCCTCGACAGGTTACCTATTCCTAACGGGAGTCATTCCACCATATGCACACATGCACATTTTCAAGGCCCACTGATTTTTAAATTCCTTTGTTAACTGCTGCCTTTATTTACATTATAAAAATCTTTGTGGCACTAGCTGCTTCTCTTTTCCATACATGCCCAGTCCACTTCTGGCATCTACAAAATAAATCATGGAGATGGAGACAGTGGGTCAGTGTTTCCGAAGCCCTGAGCACCACCTCTCCCAGTGCAGTGCTTGAGAAAGGAAAAGTATCACTTGCTGCAACATCGCTTGGCAGAGCCCACTGGAGATGCCTGCCTCAATCTGATAACAAGGCTTCCCGTACCCCGCACAAAGCTGTCAGAGACATCTTAATATTGACAAGCACAAATTGCATGCTTGAGTTTCTGTTAATTGTTTATGGATTGAATAGCCAGCATTTCTTAAAGAAACAGTGCAGGGATCTCAGGCCTGACAGTAAAGCTTTGTATGACCTCTTTTTAATGGTCCCTCTAACTTCCATGAAAACTGCCTTTGTTTGGATTTGCCATACTCCCAATAGCTTTAACATTCAAAGTTGTTTTAGTTTGGGAAAATCAGGTATGGAAATGATAAGAAGAATATAACAAATAAATTATTTTTTCCTGAGTGAAACTGAACAAAATAGAAGTAAAATGTAAAACAAGCTTAGTTCTTCAAACCATGGAAGGAACAGAACCCAAGATTGGTTTCAAAACTGATCCTTAGGCAGGCAGAGCAGTATCATAGGCAACAGAGCCGTGCTGATTCCTATCCCCTTAACAGCTACCTCACAGTTGTTTTTGGGGGTTTTGTTTGGATTTTTTTAAACACAGAGCTCCCCTTTCAAGATAAATATTAAAAACAAATAGGAAAGTCCTCATGTCAGCGGAAACAATAAAGCATCAGGACAAACCTGTGTTTCCTTGGATGTCCTCTCCCTTGGTGAGTGCCAGGTAAGAGAGCAGAGCACAGTTATTGTCCTGACCAGGCGCAGGTGGCTGCTGCAGGGACGTGCCCGTGAAGACCACTCCCCAGTTTACATGGCTGATGTCGGAGCGTGAGCGGTTGTGTCCTGGCTTGAATGTGGAGGTTTCCTCATTCTGCACCAGGATGTCATTCACTGAGCGAGGCCTGTCTCTCCTCCGCTGGCAAATACTGAAGATGTTAAAAGCTGCGGTCTCCCCTTCCCCTGCCCAAGCAAGGTTGTCAGCAGCTGTTCCCCTCTGCACCACGCGCTGGTCTTTGGCAGGGAATGCTGTCTGAGCTTTGGTTTCCAAGAGGCCATTTTTGCAGTGATCCCAGATGAGGGTACTTTTGGCTAAGGAGGCAACGTTCCTCAGGTTCCTGCTCTCTGTTATCTGATCAAATACCTCGTGCCCAACCAGTTCGGGGACCTCCTGTACACTGTACACCTCAGAGGGCTGCACGATCTTTTCAAGCTTAGCATCAAAACTATTGAAAAAGTCTTCAGTCACTTCCAAGGCAGGGCTAATGTCATCAACTTCAAGAGCCTCCATATCCTGATGCTGCCGGCAGGCCTGACGTGTTGCGATGCGTTAGGAAGATACCACATCAATATCCAGAGAAAGAGCTGCTTCCTGTCTGTCCTTGGTACACCATTAACACAGAGTGGTGGGGCAAATACATTCATCAACCACAGTCCTTAGTGGTAGGAAGGAACTAAACCAACCCGTCTTCAGGTGGGATACTTAACATCCACTGATCGAGTAGCCTACAGCCCATCTCTGAAGCAAGCTCATAGTGATGGAGAATACCTGTAAAGCAAAGCAAAACATCATGTCAGTAAGGACTTTTTCCCAGATAAATATGCTTAATCACATCACACTTTTCACAGTCACAGTTCCCTCGACTTTACTTTCTCCTTCATTTGGCATCAACGTTATTGTGTACGAAGAACCCCTTTGGGGTTTCTGTTGTTCGCTCTCTGTGAACTCTGTGTATTATCACTTCTTGAACTGGAACCTGCAGAGAGCAGGATGGGGCACCAGATAAAGGGGAAGCAAAGGGATGCCTTTTATTAACCAAGCTTTAGAAAGCTGCACTGAGAGGCAGTACTGACTAAAATCACAAATGCAGCCACCTAGGGAATGCTTAGTACACGTTCCCATGGGGCTGTGAGAAAAACTTAAGAAGCGAAGGGTTAGTAAAATAGGCCAACCAGCCTCAAATAGCTTGCCTTTTTCTTCCAGATTGCTTGCACTCCCAATTTTAGGAGACTCACATGGGTTTTACAGCAGCTACTTTGCCTACACTGCATAAAAGAACTGTAATATTTGCCTAATAAATCAATGCTACTAGGCTGCTGCAGAGCACTGCACAGAGGAAACCAGAATATTACTGGGAACCTAAGTGAAACCAGGTGGCAACCTAAGCCCCAGAAAGATAAAGCATCCTACCAGCAAAACAAAATATAACATATCCTGCACTGCCACAAATCTGCAGATCTTTATTTCCAAGCAGCTGACTCACTGGGCAAACCGTAAGAATAGCAAAGGGCTTTAAGGCTAGAACTACTGAAGAGCTGTATTGGCCCACCTGAGCTCATGCCTGTGAGGAGGGAGGGAAGTGGGGGGTTTATTCCCTGTGGTGCAATAAGGGGGTGTCTCATTGCGGACTTGTCACACCAAGTCTGCTGCCTTCTAACTTCTCCCTCTTGAAGCTCCATTCACAGTGTGGCCATACACAAGGGAAAAGCACAGTGGGTATGTTTTAACTGAGGTAATCGGTCAAATGCGTGCAACTTCTCGCCTGGAGACTGGGCAGAGATCTATCCGGGCAAAGTCAGAGATCTACATCCCACCACAACATCTCAAATCCTAGAAGCAGCAAAGCTGCATTAGCTCAGAGCTCTGCCTAGATTAATACATTCTTAAAAGAACTAATTAGCCCAGACAGGGCTGATAATTAGCAGCTCATTAGCTTGTGAATGCTGCTGAAGTACTACCAGGACTCATGAAGATTTACACTTAGCAGGAAAAAACAACTATTAGACAGCATCAAACACAGACAATACTTCTATGTAACGTTCTTTTTTTAATTGTCATGATTTAATCCCAGCCAGGAACTAGGGTACCACACAGTCACCCACTCACCTCCCCTCCCCTCCAGTGGAGGGGGAGAATCGGACAAAAAGACAAGGAAACTAGTGTGTTGAAATAAGAACAATTTAATGATTCAATATAAATTAATAAAATAGTGATACTGATAATACTAACTATATCAATAATACTAAAAATACTAATTAAACTTCCACTACTATTTCTAATATGTAATGAAAATAATGGAAAAAAAAAAGAAATTATACACTGCTCACCAACCACCAACCAATGCCCAGCCAGGTCCCGAGTAGTCAGAGCCACAGCCAGAGAGCCCAAGAGCCAGAGCCCGAGAGCCAGGCCAAGCCCCAGAGAGAGAGATCGCACCAGAGCCAGAGCGAGCCCCAGTCTGTGAGAGAGAGCGATGGAGAGAGGAAGAGCCAGCATGACCCCGTGCCCACCCCCAACTTATATACAGAGTATGATGTTTTCTGGAATGAAATGTCCCTTTGGTCAGTTTGGGTCAGCTGTCCAGACAGTGTCCCCTCCCAGCTTCTGTAGAAGAAGCATCTGGGAGTACAGGTGCAATATCAGAAAACTGAAAAAGTTCTTGACTTGGTATAAACATTCCTTAGCAACAACTGACAACATTAGTGTGTTATCAATATTCTTCTCAGCACAAATCCAAAACACAGGCTCATACTAGCTATGGTGAAGAAAATGGACTCTCTCCCAATTAAAACCAGCATATAATCCAGAATAGTCTATTTGCCTAGCTTCTAACAGCAAAGTCATTTAAATAGGCACTCTGTCCTACAGCAAGCCAGAGGGAGGAAGGAGGCCAGCAGTCCCCTAAGAAAGGGGCACAAAATCCTGTAGCACAAACCAAGCACCATCACCCGCTGGCTTCCTCCCATCCCTGCTTCAGCTGTGGCCAGCCACGACACAGTTGTCTTCAAAAGCAGCAGCTCACCCTCCCTCCTAACAGACCAGCACTTTAGACCATGATCTCTGCATATACACTCCAAGTAACTAACTTTCAAAAGCAGTAAATAATCACATAGATAACTCTGGAAATGTCAAGCTTTTAAAATCAACTCTGTCCCAATCAAAACCAGCACAACTGGGATCTTTTTCCTTTATCTCTTGGCAAAGATTCACTTCACTAGCCTCACAGTGAGCCAGGACCAGGATCAGCTTCAACAAGTAACCATAGAGTCAGACACTGAAGGTAGAGCCAGAACCACAACCAGAGGGCTGAATGAAACAGACCTGGAGTGGTTTCAGAGCAGAACCGCATGGGAACAGACTCTTTGCAAAACTGTGCAACTGTGCCAGTTGACAGCAGTGGGGAAATAGTCATCTTGGGCACATCGGTACTGTCAGTTCAATGCAGCATGGAGTTCAGTCTTGAAGCTCATTCCTGCCAGCAACCCCAGAACAGTGTTCAGCTCCCTGCTACCTTGGTGCGTGGGAGCTTCAGCAACAGGCTAAGGGATGTGACGTGGTGCAACCTGTCCACTTATTCTACATCCTCCTGTGGCATGTCTTTAAAGCAAGAACAGTATTTTGAAGTTGCAAAACTGCAACAGGCATTCACTTCAACAAAACCAGCGCTAACATAATCATAGGCCAGCAGCGAAAGCTACTGGCTGGCCCATACAAAGGTGCCATCTCACAGGGGTGAATCCAGCAGAGCATACAGCCTTGCTCTCACGCAGGGGACTGGAGCAGCAATCACTCCAGAAGGGATTGTGACAGGCCACTGAAGCGTTTCAGTGGTGTCAGACGCAACGTTACTCTTTTTTATTTTAAATCATTAGGAAAGGTGGAAAGCAAGGGGAAAAAAATTGACACTTACATTTAACAGGTTCATTTTTATATGGTGGAAGCTTCAAGTGGCCGCACGTTTCTCTGGATCCTGTGAGACTGGAGCTGCTCAGCGTCATGCCAGACAAGTGTGGTGATGCTGAACTACAAACTGATCTCATATCCTCTAAGATGCTGAATCACAAGGTCACGAGAAGATGACAGACTCCTGCACCACACAGTTCACAAATTGCAGCACTCATACCTTCCAAACTAGCCTGTTTGCCCTGCTCAATAAAGATGCGAAAGGTGACCTCAGTGGTGGCAGGCTCATCCCTTCCTATACCGCCAAGAACCTCCTTAGATCAAAGAAAGAGTTGTGCCAGTAATTCCCACTACCACTGGGATTTGGCAGTCACATATCCTCCATAAACACAATTTAGCATTTTCTGACAGTGGCACTCAACAAAATTTTAATTCAGACTTCTGCACAGATCTGGTGCCAAATGAAAGCAAACTTTGATATGACAGTAAACAGCTCCATTAGAAACTCCTCCAGGAGGAAAAGCAGTGGAAATCACTTCCTTTACATGAAGTGGGAAATAAAGCAAACAATAGGATAGGATGAACTTCTTCTAAATTACTATAAAATGTACTGCCTTATGTATTGTTTCTTGGAAACACCTGAAACTTCCCAAAGACATTCAGCCTAAGGCAGAGAACAGGAGAGGAAGATAGAAGCATCAGCTCAAACTATTAAAGGCTGACAAAGCTATAGGCAACTGTAAGCAGGGATTTGTTATGGGGAACAGAAACATAACAGCTTATTCAGGCCCCTGGGAACTAGTCTTACTGAAAAAAAGGGTGAAGGAACATTGTGCACTGCAATTAGCAAAAAGTGCTGGACACAGGGTTCGCAGCAGCTGAAAACCATGCTTTCCTGTATGTCTGCCTAATGCAGATACAGCTTTTGTCCATGAATGTGCAGCAGTCAGATAATTAACGTGCACTTCCAACATGAGTAAAGTCTTTGCTATCACGAGTTTATAGTGGCCACATTACTCATAGGGCTGAGGTAGACAGCAAGGATTGCTGGTCTTGCCAGGTGAGACACTAAGTTCAGCTTAGTCAAGATTACTTCCCTTAGAGAAGCCACAGGGACTTAACCTAGGTAACAGCACAGTCTGAGAGCAGAGAAAAATGAGGGACAACAAATGCCAAAGAACATACACTGGAAGAGATCATTTAACTTCCTGATGTGCTTTTCTGGATCCCCATGGGCCAGGGAAAATACCCAGGTATTGCATGGCAAAAATTAAAAAGCGTGGAAGGGACAAGGGTGGAAAAGACTCTTGCAGATGATACACACCACCACAACAGGCTCTCAGTGCATACCCCCAGCTTACACAGTACATTCAGGACTGTTCATTCTTGGTCAGGCAGGAGAGAAATCTAGAGCCAGCATGTGTTTAGGAACCAGTAACTACAGAGATCCACTCAGCTCACCAATCCGTACAAGTTTATATAAAAAAAGTATCTTTTAGTTTGGTTACTGAAGCAAAGAGGGTTTGTGTTACCATCCTGCCTACCTGCCTACCCTTCTTCCCTCTTTCCAACTGCACAAGTAACTTCAACTACATGTGACAAAGCAG